TGACATTCTTTTGTTGACTATTGTTTTTTTGTCTGTATGATTCAGATTTTTTTTTTTCTTGGCGGCTTGATATATCAACAACAGCTTGGTGCAATGAGTAATGAAACCGAAACAAATTGGGGCGTGAAATGATCGCTGACAATAAATCCACTCAAAACAGTGTTGCCAAAACACTGTCTCAGATCTATCACAGTTAAAGTGGGAGCTAAAGAAGGCAGCATCAAGCCAATTCGTCTTCTGATTACTACAGAGTGATATAAAAAGCCAAATCCAAGGTGATAGAAATTGTGACATTACTTCAAGACATGTGCAGAACCGCCATGTCAACATTACAGCCGGGTACAGCTGTAATTGGGAGTTGTTTGCAGCCAGCTGGCACAGAAGATAGCGTCCTCGGCTGGAAGAGTTTGCTGCAGGAGAGATGAGCTGTCAAACCAGCGCACAGCAGTGGATAGTGAGACTAGCGCCAGTCTCTAACAAGTCACTTCCTGGGAAGTTGGTATGTTGTTGAGGGCTATTTCCTGTCTAAAAGACCAGGGCTGTAGTGAATAGGGTTAACTTGTTAACACACATGCACTTACTGTAATGTATAGTTGTTTTCTTTCTAGTGTCAGTCTGCCTGAGTGTGTGTGTGAGTGTGTTGTATGTGTGCACAAATGTCTCTCTCTCCCCCTTTTCTTTCTCACCACTCTCCTCCTGGCTCCCTACAGACTGAGCAGGAAAGATCTGACTAAAGTGCTGCCAGTCACAACAGCAGATGCTCATGTTTCCTCTGCTCTCCCATGCCTCCCTACACATCAGTGAGATTGCAGGTGTGTGTGCGTGTGGGTGGGTGTGTGTGTGTGTGTGTGTGTGTGGATGTGTGTTCTGTCCTGGCAGGACTAGATGCTCTAATCAGACTGCCAGGAACGTGTGTCGGGAAAGATCATACCTCTCTGTATGTTTTGAGTGTTTTAAATCAGTTAACCAGTGTTCTTGGATGGCAGACATAAAGGATGCTTTTGGGCAGCTGAGGTAGATTTCTGTATTGCACATGTATTTGTGGAGTCACATTAGTAAATCTTATTTCTCATTACTTTCCGCCCAAACCCTCCTCCTGTGTTCAGACATGAAGCCTCATCTAAAACAGACACATTTGTCCTCCATTATTAACTTGATGGAAGCTGTGACTGGAAAGCCAGCACTCCCACTATCATCCTCTAACAACACACCAAAGGTAGTATAGAAAATCCAAAAAAAGCTGTGTTCAAGAGCTGTTGCTGGTGCTGAGAACAGCGCAAGAGAGATCAGGTTACCTCTTTGTCTCTACTTGGGTAAATGTGTTTGTATAATAGACTAATACACTCATGGATCACATCACATTTTATATATTCCCAGGCATACACTGTAGCACAAATGGCTTTCTGTTTCTCAATCCCTTCATACTTTCACTCACTTATATGGGTATTTTCTAGTACTTTTTGGTTCAAGTTTATACATGCGGTAATGTGGTTTATACTTGCTCTTGGTTTATTTACACAAGTACTTATCTCATTTTTTGTTACAAACATCATCATCTTTGTGTAGTGACATCAGTAGGAGATTTACAGCATTACAGTGGATTTATGGGGGATCTGCTATGAAGTGGTCACTTGCAGCTTGTTAAAAATGTTTCCCACTTGCTCTGTTAGTAATACAGCCCAGTTTTCTCTGTTGTTTCTGTCTGTCTCTTCCTAATACTGGATATTTTTGTCGTGCATCAATAGCAAACCATATTTAGTTACAAGTCTTCTCTACTCGAATAACTGCAAATGTTAATAATAATAATTAATAATATAAGTGTAATTGACTGATTGAATGATAAAACAAAAAGTTTTGCCCCAACCAGCCTCTTAAAACAGATAGATAGCACCAGAGTTATGTATGTTTTTAGCACAGGAATCACAGGCTGATTATTTTTTCTCAGGCATCAAGCTACTCAGCATGAACCAGGCATAGATCACCTTCATTATCTGTTCTGTAACTCAGCAATATGCTCTCATTAGTCATTTTATAGCAGCTTGCTGATATCATAAAATTTAATGCCAACTCATTAGCAAGTCCATATTTTTGTAATGCTTATTTATTTTCATTACTGCACTGTCTGGTGAGGCTTTGTAGTTTTTTATGAGTTTGTAATGCATCACAACTTATTATCTGACATTTTTTCATGTGGCAGTTTCAGGTGTAAACCTTGTGAAACACCGTAAATCTGACACCAACTAAAGGTGTGACAAAACTGTGCTGCGAGTATGTGGTTTTAACATGAAAGACAAGTGGAAGTGGAAGTGCTACAGCTGCTGACCTTTGACTCTTTGACCTCTTGATCTGCCATAGAGATGCGCATTAATGAATGACCATTCTTCTGTATATGTGTGTGTGTTTGTGGACAGGTGTGTGTGCGTGTGTACAGCTGCTGGAAATCTGTCCTGACAGCTGTAACTGTTGGCTGAGAGGAGTCGAAGACAGGGTCAGCAGGTCTCACCTGCAAATAAATGACTTCTAGTTAAGTAACAAAGTAAACCAAATAAAGCAACACAATGTTGACATTTCTGCATTAAAAAATACTTTTTTTACCTGCATGAATGATTCTGCAGTCATTAAAGTAAAGGAAACCTTTCTTTGTTTATCTTTGGTAATGTCTAAGCAGATTACAAACTTAATTGAATGGGTTCAGTGAATTCTCAGCAGTAAATTAATTTAATATATCATTCATAGTCAAAAGAATTCGGGTGAGTGGAACTCATGTTTTTGAAGTAGTCTGAAAGGGAAAATTATTACTCGTAGACATTATATGATGAATTAACTTGAAATGATTAAAACATATACATTTACGTTGATGATAGTTAAGTTAATGATAAAAGCTTAGTGGATTCCACCAAATTTGTGTATGATGTTTTTATAGTGTAGTGTAATTATGCACATATAATAAGAATAAGTCTTATGAAAATAGACTTGTAAAACATACTTTAAAATACGCTTTTAGCCACAGCTAAGGAGTCAGTGTCTCAGAAACATGTGAGATGGATGACTGCAATGACTGATATTGACACTGTGACCTGTGAATGTGGTTGTAGTTATTTGCAAATTGCTTTTTTTTGGACTTCAGAAACATACAAAAAATGTCTATGTGTTTCATTCTTTTGATGATGCTTGGAGATTGAATATAAGTGCTTTCAGAGTAAATCACCATTAGTGGGTTTGTGACCACAGAATCAGATAAGTAGTTTATTTGATTGATTGAAACACACACCCTAATCTTTCTTTGCACCAATAATGACCTGACTGGAAACTGACTTAATTCCCATTAAGTCAGTATAGCAGTGGAACTAACGGTAACTGGCAACTAAATCTGCAAAGGCATTGTGTCATAAAAAGACTACAATAACCCACCTGTTGTGAGCCGTATTCCTCAAAAAGCAAGACATCTCTGTGTGTGGATGCGTGTCGATTCACAAAGAAAAAGCTAACTCAATGATAGGATGGTAGATGACCAAATGGGAAGTTGTACACCAGAAATGTCATTTAAATGTAGCCCAATTATTTTCTTCCATAAGTGGCGCATTCTTAGTGCACACTAACATATACACAGATGTTTAGTATTCGAAATGCAGTGAAGCTTTTCTCCCCTGCCTGTAACCACACAGACACACACATAGCTCCATTTCACCTTTGCTTCTTTGCTAGCCGCAAGGTCCCACCGTCTCTGACAGCTGCTGCTAAATTTCCCCCCCTAATGAGACACAACTGAGAGGCTGTCGAGGTAACCGTGTTTCAGACCACAAGAGCCCCCGGCATGCATTATGGGACGGCGTGGTGTACAGGAATAACGAGTCATCGGAAGCCAGGTTCTGCAGTAGGGGGTTTTCATTATCAAAATGTTGCCTCAGTGCCAATTGATTATGCAGTAAGTGGGGATTTCTTTGAGAAAGAAAGAAGGGGCTGTGTAGGAACAAGAGGCTAAAAACTGTTGGCACTGTTGCTGTGGAAATGTGTATTTTATGGGCTACTAGATGTTTCGAGCCAGTATGAATGATTGAGCCCCTCTTTCTTACAACCATCAGACTGTTGTCTCTCAGATTATTATTTATCTAATGGTGAGGCTACACTGATATCAGCCAAGTGGTTCAAGATTTTAGAGCTGTTGGATGATTCCAAAATTGTAAAAAAAGAAAAACACAGTTGGTGTCAAGTTTAAGGTCTGATTTTACACTCAAACATTGCGACCAACATCCCAGCATGCCATTCACAATCAGACTTTGTTCTGCTTCTCTGACTCTTGTGACTGTCTTGTTTAATTTCACAGCAGAATTAATTGAATAATTCATTGTTTCAGCCCACTCCTCTTCTCATTTCATAAATTAATTTACTCATTTGCCCCCATCAAATCGCTACTCCTCTGTGTGACTTGAAACCCTTAGTGCCGTACGAATAAGCAGAAAGAGCTGGATTTGATATTTCCCTGGGGAAATTAATAGTATAGTGCGTTTCTGGACCAGGTACAGATTAAAAGCTGGGCCCATTATAAACTCATTAACCTAGTCATTAGGACCAGATCTGGGAAAAGATGGAATAGGTGGGTGTCTAATTTTAGCACAACATTGCAGCTAGTCCTTATTCACCTGCAGGAACTAAGGTATTTTCCCTTGAACACACTGTTCCTGTGTCAGCAGCACCCTATTTGAGCTGCCTTTGGGATAGATGTCACAAGCTGACATGTAGCTGATATTTAATTATCCGTATTTTCTACTGCATTTATTTTTAAGAACACTGAGTATATAGATTCTGTAGATCACTTATGGCTTTTCAAATTTCCAAATCAGCTAATGCAGACACAGTCAACCTTGAACAAAGTGAGAGCCGGGGCCAAAGCTATTTTAATGATATTGACAGTAATGTTGCCTTAGAGACCAGAAATATCTTAAAGTTTTGACAAGAATATTTAACATGGTCTAACATACTGTATTCCTCTCTTCTCTCAGAGGCTGGCAAAAGAAGCAGAAAAGTTTCAAACGGAGCACGAGTGGAGGGACGACAGCGAGGTGAGTGAGCTGATCTGATATGTTCATTAACACTGGCTGCGTTACATACAGATCAAGTGGTGCCGTGAACTCCATAAGAGGAGCTGGGGGAAGGGACATGTTATTCATGATCCAATATGATTGTAATAATTGGATGGCAAATCTCATTACAATGACAATAGTGCTGTAATGACTTTATACCAGATTGAATTTCATAATTTTACATAATAGGCAGAAATAACCAGACATACTTATGGTGAACAGACACACATACACACACACTGTTCACTCTCCAATATTGTCCATTTATCATAGTATTAAGAATACATTAGAAGAGAATGTACAGCAAATAATATGAACACACTATTATTTTACTCATTCAATTACTTGGCCCGATTGCTGGTCCAATGACTGCATTGCCCCATTCCACAATGGCAGTCTCTCTGAGAATTACAATGCAGCTCTCTCAGCTATTCACGGCCAGTGATGCTGTGTTTTAGCTCTGGCCTTTTCATAATAAATGCAAATTGCAAATTTCCTTACCCTGCTTTGCAATGAGAAAAACGTCACGCTCTTGGCAGCCATTTAACAAATGACAAATGATATTGTGTGTACATACTGTGGTGGAGGAACTTCAAAGAAATTCAACCTTGGCATTTAGCTATTAACTTAAAAAACTCTTCAGTGTTGTTTGCCAAACGTTAATGATTCTTTTCCATTAAAAGTTTCCCATTATTCAACTTCTTTCATGCTGTCTTACACTGAGAAAACAGGGAAGGAAATGTCCTCTCTGGGGATGGATTCATTTATCCGCTGTTTTACTCGATGAGTTTGATATTCCTTTGGCCCGAGATGCTTGGCTAGTGAATGTAATTCATTTTTTGGTTAATGTTATGGGGATTTCTGCAATACTTACCTGAACCAATTAAATATGTCTCTAGCATTGTAAATACACACAGGTGGGTGACATGTGTGAATATAGGGACTGAATGCTAAGAGCACAAAGTCATGCTCTTACCAGCCTTACTTGTTTACACCAATGCTGCTGGTAGCTTTACAAAGTAGGTTGTTTAGCTCAGTTCTCTGTATGCACATTTTACAGAGCAAAATTGTTCATATAATGTGAAATAATACACTGGGCAAACAGGTTAGATAGCCACTGCTCATAGTCATAGAAGTATCCATTGTTTTAAGTAAGTTACATCATGCTTTTGTATTTGATTTTATAGAGCCACATAAATTGAAGATGCACTGAGGCCTTTAAGGTCTTCAGAGATGTATATTATTTTGATAGCGATAAGAGTTTTGCAGGGTTTGTTGTTTCTCTCCTCTAATTGTCAGGACAAGAATGTGATGGCCCTGTATTCGTAACCACAGCTGTAGTGTAACTTCATGCTGTGTCTGCCTCAGGGTAGCCTCCTGCGCTCAGCTTGGCCCCACATAAACTTGTGTGTACCTTCATTGTCTTTTTTTGTGTACTGTATATTAGCCTTTAGCATTGGAATAAATAATTCACGCTGTGCACGTTTGTATAAATTGTTTGTGTTTTTACAAAGAATACAGGCAGTGTGATTTTATGCTGGCCAATATAATACAGTAAATAATTTTAACATGGCATGTGAGCATCCTGTGTGAGATTTTATATTTCCTAATAATGTGAAACCACATATTCAATTTGCAAATTGCAAAATCTTGAGATTTGAAATGTTAAAATCAGTTAGCCATGCTTAATAAAAAATTCCTTTCAATTTCCTTTTCATTTAGAATACTGTACATACTGAAAACCTACAAACTAATTTGCCTACTCAAACATGTTATATCTATTTGTCTCTATTTGTGAGTATTTGAAATAGCAAGTGGAGCATCCTGCGTGCTGTGTGTATGTGTGTTAATGCGCATGCGTCTGTTCCCTGTCACCTTTGATAACTGGGCCAGTACTACTGGGCACCTCTCCCTGCTGACTCTAAACACTTAAAATGTGTGACTGCTGCAACCACACATCGCATGTGTCTGTTCAGTATAATATGATGACTTTGGCTCTGTTTCTATCCTATTATTAAAATACAATATATATGTATCTGACTTCTTTAAAGAGATCAATTTGATCACATTTCTACTAGTTCTTGTTGTCTGCATTTTTTTGTATGAGTGGGTTTGAAGGTGGCCCTGTCAAAAATAAAAATTGCACATCGTAAAATGTGATACTTTGCCACCCATATTAAGTTTCATTTGAGGAAAAAAAAAAAAGTCATCTTTTACGGCTCCATGTGTTTGCAGCTGCTGTGAGTGCTTGGGAAAAACACCGTAGCTGGTGGGAGTAGATCATGTTGGAGTTTTCAGTGAGTGGATGGCATATTGAATGAGTCATTAGTTTTTTACAAATGTAGATGCAGAGCTGCAGTTGCACCTGCCAGAAATGGGATTGCAGTACATTAACAAGCATCTTCTTATTTAGATTTAGCAGTACACATCACACCCACCACAACACCCCACATAAATAATAGCATAGCTTGTTTCCCAACCCCTTCCCTCTACATGTCTTTCTCCATCTCTCACATTAGTGTTCTTGCACACAGTAGCCTCCCCTGAAGGGTGTGATGGTGTGACCTTAGTGTTATAATCACTTCTTAAGGTGCACATCATCTGCTTTAACAAGACCTGACAGAGAACATCATGGGACAGTCTCCTGTTATCAGCTCTTTTGTGTGTATATTTTTGCTTGTGCATATCAGCAGATTTGCACATATAGTTGTATTTAACACGTCTTCTGATATAACTCGCCAACAGTCAAAACAACTAAATGGAGAGCAGATGCTAGTGTTTGGCACAGTTTACACAGCCTAATCGCTTATTGTGTGTTAAGTATAAACTGTTAAAGGTAAGGTAACTAGCAGTGGCAAGAGGAGTCACAAGTCCCTTTTGAGTTGCCATCCAGTTGGCTTGCAGGTCCAGAAGTAGAAGGCAGGTGGTGGGAGTCAGTGAACCAGCTCTGTGGCTTCAGGGCATCCTTATGTCAGCAGCCAGGCTAGCTTGTTAGCACCCTGCTAGCCTGTGTACTGACAGGAAGCCCAGCAGTGTGAGAGCAAAACAACACCACTTACCTCACTGATCCTCAGTGTCAAACACAGACTGCCGCCCTTCAAGGAAATATAGTAATATTCAAATTATAGCCACAGTTGCAGATGTAACTTCAAAAAGAAAAACAAGTAGTTTTACTTTACTAAGTTATGTTTTTCTGTTTGACTATAGCCATTTTTAAGGGAGTATCTGAAGCATCTGCAGCATCATGTTTCCATCAGTTTAGTAAATTAGTTGTGGATAGGGGGCTAATACTTTTGCGACTTTTGTGGAAATCTCCAGTATGTTCATGCTCCATTTTACACACACTTACACCTACAATATCAAAATGTCAACTTTGCACAGATGACATATTGCCATTCAGTTTGCTGAGTGTATTCTCCTAGGACAAAGCCACTTAATTTTAATGGCGCCATGGCCTTTTCCACAACTGCCATCTTTAGAGCAAACTTCAAATTTTTTACTGCTAAGGCTCTAAAAATAGTAAAGATTTCTAGTATGTTTTTTGTTTTGTCCAGCACTTCAATATTGGATATAATGCAGCTTCTAGTGGGGCTTTTAGTTTATTCCTCATGTAGTATGGAGACACCCAATAGGTGTTTGGAGACACTTGTCACTATACAAGTGTGTTGTGGGTTTAAAGAGCAGCTTAATTGCAGTTGGAGATTTTGTTTTTGCTGACCTCCCATGCTTTGACTTCTCACCTTGCCGCAGTGATGTAGAACTGTACACCAGGCTGTGTCAATACACTCACAATCACTGTTGGGTGTGGTTGCAGATGCAACAGAGCACCCAACCACACTCATGACTGATGCTGTTTGTGGTTAAACCAAAGAGGGCATTAAAATGTTGTTTTTCAGCCCAGCATTCAGATGCTTTTCAAAGATGTGCTTCCTCTATTTGGTCATTCATTGCTTATCTTTTCCTGTTTCTCTTTGCAGATCAACAAAAGTGTTTACTACAATGCCAAAGAGGATGTAAGTACAACTTGATCCCACTATTTTAAGTGTGATTAGATATGCAAATTCCCAAATAAAACGCTACAAGTAACCTATATCCAGCCCTCAAGAGATTAATACCATGGCAACAAACCTGATAGTAGCATTTATTGATAGTCTGTAAGAATCTGTAAAAAGGAGTGACTGAATTTGTAGATGTTTGTGTTGCATGGGTAAGATTTATATCCATACTTTGCTAAGGTATGTAATGTATAAGCAGCATATTTTATGCATAAGGTTACAAGCAGTGCATGTTTTTGGCCCCACACTCAGAAACACATGAGTATGCGTGAAACACTGAATGCCCTCCCCAGGCCTCGGATGTCATCTGTCTCCTCTTATACACAGGGATCAGCATCTAATTCCCCTCCACTATCCCGGTGGGAAAGAACTCACTGCACCTTAATGTCACTCTGTATTTGACTGACAGCCCCTCTCCCCTCTTCCTCTTTCTCTCTGGATGCCTGGATTTATGTTTCCCTGTCTAAAATTCAGTTTCTCAAATCTTTATCTGCCATTAGTGACATTTCAGTGAATACTCAGCATTGACAGTAATAAACTGCATGTACACTATGTTTACAAACACAGGGACCACTCTTAAGCAAAGAAAATGCTTTGCAGGATGGTTTTGAACCTCCAGGTTTTTTCCTCTTTTGTGCAGCTTAATCAGACAGAGGAAGAAAAGAGAAAGAACAACCGATATATTCCAGATGATTTCGAGATAGACCCTGACTTCAAACGACTCGTCTCATACAACACCACCGCTGTCCACATCCCTACGGATATATATGAAGGCTGTAAGTTGAAACACACATACACATGCACTGTAGAAAAATGCATACTCTCTCTCTACACGTCCCTGTAATATAAATAGAATTACAGAGCAACCACCACCTCCTGTCCTGCTTACTGTCTCTCTTTATCCCTGTCACCAGTATCTACTTTATGTTCCCATGATGCAGAGCTCAGCCTCCCAGCTCTGTGTGCAGTGCACAGTTCCACACTAAGGCTAGGCCATTCTAGTCTATATATAACCCAGATGCCAACAACCCAATGCCTAGCACACTGTAGCCCCCTCTTTGCCCTGGTCACCAGCTGCTCCTTTCCCTCCCGTGCATTGCTAACCCTGCTGACCTCTCGGGACAGTTGCACAGAATGTCAATGCCTCTGCTAATGAAAGTTTTTTCAAAAATGAAAGGTTTTGTGGGTGCTTGTACTTGCATGAAACTGTTCTCAGTTATTTTGGTATGTTTATCACACACTTGCATTTATGCTTTTCTTTTGTCACTGCTTCGTTTTTCTGCCTTAACACAATTTTCTCTTCATTCTATTTGTCTTCATCATATGAACATTGTTTTGTGCACCGTTTAATTTTTAGCCACATTAACTGCATGACATCATTATACGCACTGGTGGATTGAATGAAAATCTCTATAGTGCCCAGAAGATGAACCCTAATGACTTTGGTGATCTCTTAACTTTTGCTCTTACTGCCACAGTGAGGATGGAATTTTTGTTTTTTAGTTAATTGTCTTGTCCACTAATGGATACGTTTTTGGACAGATATCCATGGTGCCCAGAGGATGAACCATAATGACTTAAATGATCCCTTGGCATTTCATGTAAGGCTACCAACAAGTCAAAACAATCACTTAACCATTGAAATATCACCCACAAGATGGTTGTTTGTGGCAAAACCTGCAAAACTAATAATACTCTCATTAACTTTAGCTGTAGGCCTACTCATTTAGTGCTAATTAGCATTGTTAACCAAGAGGATCAACATGGTGCATAACCTCAAAACACCTCTGTGTCTAAGTTTAGCAATGCTGAGCTGCTGGCATGGCTATAACATGTACATCTGCAATATAATGTGTCCTATGGTTTATGTGCAGCATGAAACCCTCCTTGGTGGCTTTTCTTGCAACACTGCTGCTCTTTCCCTCCCTGTTGAATGAGAAATGTTGACTATGTATGTGCAAATCTTTATGACTAGCAGCGTGAAGTAGTATTTGCAAAGGAGAGAGGGTTAATCTAGTTACATATTCATGTGCCTCATACACTGTTTGGTACTAATCAAACACTGGGACAAGTGGTTTAAGTGCTCTAGGGCACTTTTTCAGTACTTTTTTAGGGACTGATTTTCTGATTTATTTTCTTTGTTATGCTATACCTCCCATGCCTACCTTATTGCAAGCACTATGTGGTATGATTACTTCTCTCACATTCAGCTGATCTAAAGTTAATCACATATAAGGGCTATAACTTAATCGGGATAATTGTACATCCCTTCCTCCTGGAGCCTCTCCCTGCATGTGTTGGACATAAAGCAGGGAAACACACTGGATAGGCCACCAGTCAAACTAGATTTGGCTGACAGTAATGAAATCTGGAATAATAAATAACGCTATTACAGAATGTGGCCCGCCTTAAACTCTTTTAGACAAGCTTTGAGAGCCACATAATCAGAGTTTTATCCATTATGATCTTACAGTGTTGTGAAATTGGCATTACTGTAAAATTAACACTAGCCTCAGGGTAATGCATCAGTACCTTTAGTTATTGCAGCAGGTGGTAAGCCAGGTTTTATCACTGCATGTGTCTTTGGAAGCCCAGAATGAAAATGATACAATACGTGATACATGGTGGTGTATTTTCGTTATGGAGAGAGGTGACTGTTTTAGTTATGTATTGTTATGTGGCTGAGTATGTGATGGACTGTTTTAAACTCCTTTGAGTGAAAAAGGTACTCCCTGGATGCATATTAGTTCACAGTGTGTGTTGCCACACTATTTCTTTACTCATACTGATTTGTCCTTTTGCCAGTGATATGAAAAAAGGCAATATGTTAAACAAGCACAAGCTTCCTTGCAAGAGATAAATGGACTAATGTATGGGTGGATGGCTATTACACAGAAACCGGAGGAGAACATGCCCACACACACGATATACACACACACAAACATATCCTCTGGGTTCTTATTCTAGGACTCTAATGAGTAGAATTCAAGGACAGAGTGACATACACACAAATATAAGGATGCAGACATGTCTTTATACACGCATACACTCGGAAACATACAGTACAGGTCATGTCCTTCCTTGAGGACACACTCTCATACCATACACACACGGAGAAAATGGAGACAACATGAAGGAAAGCTTTTGCTGAAACAAAAGAGTGTATATTAAATTACGAGTGACATGTGATCTGATAAAATAATCCTGATGAAATCTAGATCAATCCAAAGAAACGAAATAGCCAGAGTTGCTATAGCAACACTAAATCATCATCTCACGAACATGGCACTTCATATCTAAAATTATATAATCTCTCATGTTAAGCACTACATTTAACAACACGCAAATTTGGCAGGCATCAAAACAGTTAAATAATTTCCTTATACGCAGGCATGAGCTAATAGCCTCCTCGGCATTGATTGAGCATTTAATATCAATTTCGTTAATGATCGTCACACTGGGTTTGCTAAATGCAGTGAACTCAGTCACATGACTTTAATGGCCTTATACAGCGAGTCACTTCCACATAAGCTGGACTATAAATGTGCAGAGTGGCGGGCCTCTGAGGCCTCTGACTGTGCAGACATTTTGTCATTGCCAAATGGCCAAATGCACTCAGTTATTTTTACAAGCAACAGTTATAATGATGAAAGGTCGGGAAATGGGGTGGGGTGTTTCCTAGTGTGATTCATCAGTCTGTCTTTTGCTCTGATTATGACCTCTATCTTTTCCTTTCTTTCTTATTCTCCTTTTTCTCCTATTGTGGATGTAGAGTCTCAATGGTCTTTCAAAATGTACACAGTTTGTTATTTACATGGTCATACAATGTAATTGGTTCAATATGTGATGATAATTTTATGTGCCAGGTCTGCATTGGTGCATTGAATTTTATTTTACTTTTTTTGCATCAAATCTCCTTATAGCCTTCCTTTCAGTCAGACTGTGAACATTTATACTTCAGTTCAGTATTTTGGAAAACATATCCATTCTCTTTCTTGCAGAGAGTTAGATTGGTACTACTCTCCTGTATCCGATAAATATGATGATACATCCAGCATGTCGAAATGTTACAAAATCCACTTACCAGCACCTCTAAAATTCAATAATTAATTTTTTTCGCCCCTTTAGTTTTTTTAATTCTATATGAAATAAGCTTTGAAAAGCTGTTTCCCTCTATTTCCAGTCTATGTGCTAAGTTAAATTAAACTGCCGCTGCCCATAATTTTACAGCTTCTCCTTTTGGAATATTTGTGGATAGAAAATAAGTCTTTTACGGCAATACTGTGTGTGGCCACTACGCCAAAATTGCATCAAAGCAAAGTAATTTGGTCTTATCTTTTTTTCATTCTTGAGGAACTGCAGCATTCTGGGCATATAGGGTGTGCGGCATCTGCTTGATGTCTTCCAGCTGTCAGACAGCTGGTGGAGGGTGGGGTCTGGGTGGAGCTCTAGTTAGCGAAGTAGCGAAGCTAGGCTGGTAGTTGTGTTGGTGCTCCCTCTCTCTTACTCTCTCTCTGTCTCCAAGGACAGACTGCCACATTGATGCCACTCCGGCTGGCCGGCACTGTCAGCGTTGCCATGGCAACGTGTATTCGTGTGTGTGTAGAAGGAGACACACATGCTTGGACACGCCCTTGTGTTCTGTCTTGTTGTGTGTAGGAAGGAAAGTTAACTTAATTAAGGGACTTTGTCTAGACAATGCTGCCGTCCGTGTGGCTTTTAGTGAGGCTGAAGGAGAGATGTGTCACCTACCTCTTCTTTGATTGTTGTTGACTTTCTCCACAACCCCCACCCCTTTTTATTCTTCCCTCTTCCTCTTTTCCCTTTTCCTTGTTTTGTTTTTAAGTTCCTTAACCCTTAGGCCCCTTACATATTTTGTCATGTTTGCTCATTTTTCATTCTTCCTTAGCGCCTTCATTCCTTCCATCTTTTCCTCTACATCTCTACCCTCTCACTCCACCCTCCCCTCCCCTTTCCTCATCCCTCGCTCCACTTTATTAAGCATATTAATAGTGGGGTGTGTGGAGACAAATGCGCTACTGTCTTTCTCCCCCGCATTAGTCCTGCTGATTGGAATCTATTCTCCCTGCTGATCCAGTGTGGGTGGTCAGACTGGGATATATTATCATGTGTGCCGTGCATGCACACTGGAGATGAATCAGAGTTTGTCTGTGTGTGTGAACGTGTTTGAGGGAGAGAGAGAGAGAGGGGAAGAAACACTTGGGGTGTGAGAGCCGTTGTGTGTGTGTCACATTGCATGCACCTACTGTACTGTATGTTTACGGATCTCAAGCTTGCGTATGCGTGTCTTCTTGCTCATTAGGCAGATTGGCATGGATGCAATGAGGGGAGAGCATCACGGCCTTGGCAAGAGATCCGAGGCTCATCTGATGCCCGTTTGCATCAACGCTGTGTGGCACCTGTCAGCCCGAGACACACACTCACTGTGACGTGCTGAGATACTGTGATACTGTGTATGTGAGCATGTTTGTGTTATACTCACAGTCCCTGTGGCAAAGCTCACAGCATATAAATTGTTTTTTTTTCTTTTTGCACTCTTGTGCCACTTGATACACGTCCTATTTCGTTTACGGAGCTGGCTGCCAAACTCTGAGGTATCTTCATCTCAATCTCTCTCTCTCTCTTTCTCTCCTCATCCTTCTATCCTTCTTCGTCCCCCCTCTCTCTCTGTTTATGTCTGCGACCTGTGTCCTTGCGACAAGTTGGATGCCTTCCCAGGATGTTCTAATCAGCTGATTGGGATTCGCATTTAGAT